AAATAGGAAAATAAGATTTACAATCTATTTTTACACGTAAAAGTCATAGTCCTACCTTAATGTTTTTGAATTTCTTGGTGTAAGAATGGTCAAAGTCCACGAGATATAGTAAAAAATTATAAAATTAGCAACCTAAAACACCATCCAACGTACAATAGATTATTAGTCCAAGGGACAACCGTGGATTCCTTCATACTATCTTTGACTATTAATACAACTACACATTCCAAAATCGTCAGTTGATGTGAGCCACCGACAGATTGTGCTGATCTAAATTACTGATATCTGTCGAATAAACATCTTTTTTACCAATTGAAACTAATAGAATGACTTATTGTGAGCTAACTGTTACTACCCATCCCGTTTTGTGGTCCGACATGAATTAGTAAGTACAATAAAACCAGTCTAATTCAATAAAAATTTATTAAATCGTGATATCTTCCCCACGTAACACCAGGGTGAAATAACTCAGGGACCTAGGATGTGTAGTTTTTTAGTCGTGAAATTAATTTTCTTTAGTAATTCTTATTTTCGGATTTATTGGTTTTTATTAAAAGGTGAAGTAAACTTTTCAGTAAGGAGTAATTTTATTTGGTGAGCGTAGGTAACTAGCACTAGCAGTAGTTTTAGTTCACGGATAACCTACGGTCATTTTAGGTGGCATTTGATTAGCTCCTCAAACCAACTAAAATTGAAATGGAACACGATCGTGGATTAACTGGCTTTTATTTCAGCAATTATGATGACCAATGATTGACTGAGTGAATGCTAAAGTCGTATGGTCTGAGCCCAGCCAATTAACAAATTAAATTGAACCCTGGACACACCCGACATGTAGCTGATCTGAGGCTTATAAGGTGTAGATCTTACCCCCATCGTAATTAACACCTTACAAATAGGCGCCCGAACGAAAGGACTAAATTAATAGTAAATTTTTATAGAATATTATACTTTAAAAATGAAAATTTGGCGTTTGTTTTTGAAAGTTATGTTCCAGCTATTCTGGCCTACATTTTACATAAATACCCCGGATAAAAGCAAGGGTGACAAGGGTGATAAGACCCTGAAAGTTGTTTCAAGTACAGCAAGTAATACTTTGACTAGAACCAATACTACTAGTACTGGGGCAATACCCAAAGTTGCCAAGCCAATCGAAACAGTTACTGTGAGTATATCACAGGATTTGCCATTAACTACACAGGCTGTAGGTGTAATATCTAAAACCCCGCATGAAGATGGCCCCAGAACTAGCTGGATAGGGTCGGTAAGCAAAGATGAACTTAAACTTGAAATGAATAAGTACGATTTAGATACATCGGGAACAGTAGACGGACTTATACGACATTTCGCAAAGTTTTGGAAGGATGGAATTCCCCACGAGAAAAGTAAACAAACATCTATTGAACAGGTCAGTGAATCGACTGGAGCCGGAAGTCTATTGTACCGCGATCGCACATTACATAGCGCGGATCATATTTTTCAAAGCGATATCGCTCAGAGCGTTTCACAACCAACAGTTAGTTGAGTGGGAATGAATAAAATTTCTGAAGTGTTAGGAATGCCTGAGACCACAATAGATGAAATTTGTAGGTCCTAAACCAAAATAAATAAATATTTGTAAATATTTAATCAAAATTGTTAATTAAATCACAATTGACGTCGGACGTTAGGGAATGTAGTGATAAGAGTAATTATCTAGGTTGGCCACACATACATGGGCAAGGCCTTGTACATAGTCAGCTTTTGTGGTATAGGAATAATAAAAGGAGTTGGTTTTCTTATGATGATTTCCGTCATAGTTTGGATTTACATAGGCTTTTACTACCAGGCTATTTAAGGAATTCTGATGAGGAGATACAGTTCCGAACCCAAGGCGAGGAAGGGCCGTTTCGTAGCTTTGTCGTCGCGTTGAGCACGTAATGAGGCGACGTAGTGGGTTATCTCTGGCGATCAGCTGGACATTATATATACTAACATGAAACCTGATTATATGCTAACAATGAAACGCGATGAGATCGTTTCATGAGGGTATGCTTAAGCAGGCTGAACATGTGGAAAGTTATTTTCGGGAAAAGGCGTTATATAGGCCCCCTCCACCCCCTCAAATAGCACTTGTCCTGGAAACAGCGTACCAACCTAGGCGAAAAGAGGATTGGCAAATGGGTTACTGAGGCGAACTAATGTCTTTTATAGCGGAGAAATATTTGCTACAAATAAATCTGCTGGAATTGACAAAGTGGTAGTTAGTTGTCAAAATAATATGCCGTGGAACTTTTCCCGGGTGAAAAGTGAAAGTAGTCCACAATGGAATACTTAACCGGCTTATCAACCATCCGACGATAGCGTTCCCCTCGATGTTAGTAAACAAACACAGCAGAATAATAATACACTGACGTCCCAAGCAAATAAACAAAAGCGTACACCTACTTGTTGGAATTGTAATGAAATTGGTCATGCATATTATGATTGTAAATTACCAAAAGTGTTAAAATGCTTTTATATTGTAAGAAGGTAGGATGATGTTAGTAGCCAATGATGTTAGTTTTGGGGTTAAAGCCGGGTTTACACGATGCCAGTTGGCGAGACAATTGTCATGAGACAACTGACTGGCTTGAAATTACTGGCTTCGTGTAAACACTTCAGGGCCAATTGGCCCGCCAACTGTCCCGAAATTCAGTTGTCTCCAGGAGTAGACTGAGGACAATGAGCTGGGCCCAGTGAGTCCCCCAACCCTCGAAAACCCAGTTGCCGTGACAATTGGCGCCGTGTAAACGGTGTAGAGACCAATAGCACTGTCTTGTCTTTTGGCAGTAGTACCCTGGTTCACTGTAAAATGCCTGGGCAAGTGTTGGCCACGTGTGAACAGGTTCTCGATCAACTTGCCTGGCCTACGACAATTCCAAAACCACGTGATGCCAATTGGCAAAGACAATTGTCTCGCCAACTGGCATCGTGTAAACCCGGCTTAAAACCTTATTTTTAAATCTTCAGTCGTCAAATAGACATATATAATATCTTTGACGACTGCAGATTTGAAAATGATTTTTTAACCGCGAAACTATAGTCATCACGACAAATATAGGATTGATTGACGACAGGTTAGTAACCTTATTTTATGTCAATTAATCAATCCTGGAGGCAAATTATGTATAAATTGTTTACATTTAAAGATTATGAGTTTGCTCTTTCTTGCCACAGATACCTACCAATCAATATTTACTTTTAAAACTCTAACCTCAGAACTTTGAAAGCCCACGGAGCAGAGTCCTTGGACAAAATTGAAGCAGGAATAGTAAATACTGTATATTATTTATTGTTTTTGTTGTAGCTTTATTTTTGTCCAATTTGAGCCCAGTCGGTTCAGTAGTTTTTGTGTTTTAATTTAGCTCGTGCAAACACACAGACAGACACCCCCTCTTCTTTATAATAGTAGGCTATACGGTTCTTCAGTCATTGAGATGTAAAACACAATAGCCTACATTTTTGCATTGGTACAACGCAGAAACTTACACCGTATAATAGGCTAATAATAGGCTTCTAATTAGCCATCATTGATATACCAATGATAGAATTGTAATCATCATCAATAATTGCTCATTTATTGTTATTGTCGACGGTCACGTGTTCTGCATAAGCTGCGCTAAAACTTAGTCCCGATTCTACTTGCTCTACGGCCATTACAACTTAGGCGCAAGCTCCAAAGCCTGGTTTTCGATCCTGCGTATTAAAGTTAGGTGCGTACTAGTTAGACTCGAACTCCCAAAACCGCCTCTTAAAGTCTTATTTAAAGTAAGTGGGCCTAAGTTACTTTGGGGGATAAAACATTTATTTTGTTGTTAACGGTTGTGTCTATGCCAAAAACAAAAGGCTTAGTCTAGAGTCTACTTTCGATAGCAGCAAAACACTTCTTCCTTTTATGAAAACATTGGTCTCTTGCTAAAGCAATTCAAATTCACCCAAGTTCATCGAGTCCTACCATAGGAGATATAACTTAGCCTATTACAGGTAACCTAAATCTTGATTTTAAGTCAGTTTAGCTTGAGAACTTTAAAACTGCTAGGCCTACCCTTTGTCTCCACTCTCTTCCTTCCCAATCTAAGCCTCTTTCATCCTTGTAGGTACGCTTGTTTTAAGCCCTTTAACAAACTGCAGCATACTTCCTTCACTTTTTCTTAGGGTTATCATCTTGAGCACCATTATTTTGATACAGCCTGTAAAAAGCCTAGTCTAGTAGACCTATGCTTTTTCCAAACATTTCCCATCCCAGTACTTACAGTCTAGACGCAACTTCCGCATTTTCAACACGGGTCCGCTTGTCGAGTTCAATGTTATGTTTATCGGCCGTATAATGTGTGCACGCCTATGTGTTAATTTGTCCTGTGTTGGTGTAAATGTAAAAAGACTGTTACTGACGACCTTCATATGAAGTAATATCATCCTTGTAGTCTACACACCTGATGACCTCCTAGCAGGTCGAAACTAGTAGTGAAGACAACAATAGGATTGCAAGAATAAGGTATTTAAACCACTATCACTAAAGATTTTGAGTGCAAGTTTACTTACTAAGGATACCAATTAAGATAATGAAATAATACAATATGTCAAAAAGTTAACCCCCCCCCCCACCCCAAAGAAAAATACAAGACAGCCTAGCCTAAGGGTTTATAGATAGATCTAGCCCCGGGCCTATTCAATGAAAGTAAGGTTAGCTTGCTACTAAGAGCTTCATAAAAGCAGGGGCTAAAAGTAAAAGAGTATGTTCTGCTGTTTCCCTAAAGAAAAAATACTAGCCTAGCCACGTAAGGAGAATTCATGTTGTTGGCATAAACAATCGCTTCTAGAACAGGCTACTTAACATAATCCTAACCTAAGGCCAAGAAGAGGTTAGCTAGGACCGGCTATAACCTAACTTGCAAGGATACGATGGAATGTAAAATCAAAGTTACTAACGTTGTCAAGCATATAAAAAAGCAATATTTCTGATAATATAAGTCACTTACTCGTTCAACTGGTTTGTTGCAAGCTCTAACGTCAACCATAGCGTTAGATTTTTCACTGGAGAACATTGTTTCTTCTAGGGCTAAGATGTATCCGCTCATTCCTTTCAGAAAAATCACTCCTAGATATTTATTATGCTTGGGTCTAATTCAAAATGTTTAGTTAATTAGACAAACTCACAAACAAGCCTTCACAGTTTTAGTTAATAATATGCTACTACAGACAACAACTATTGACAGTGACAACACAGTGAAGTGTATCGGTGACAAAACGACAAAACACTACAAACAAGAAACAACAGTCAGTCAAACAGAACAGACGCCAGACAGACAGTCAACAAACAAAACAACCAGACCAGGCTGCGATCCAAATTATCCCACATGCCTGCTATAAATTCCCCGTGTTTACCCGGTCATCTGGGAGCAATCTCCCCAAAATACCCAAAACCAGGTAAAATACTCTGGAAACACCGTCAGAATGCTTCTTCCATCCCGGCTCTGAGTTAAGGTCGATTCACACACATCAGTTACGGCACGTCACAGTAAAGTCACTTCAGGCCACTTCAGGCACGTCACAGTTAACAAAAATATTCTTTAATGGATTTTCTATTGCGCTATCTACACTTATCCGTTGCAGTCCCGTCAGTCGCTCTACCGGCATCCGTCAGTCAATTTCAGATTTCTTTCCAACGATACTTTTTGATTGGTCGGACGCCTGACGGAACTGTTTGAGGTTAGAAAATAGTGTTATTGTTATTTAAATGGTTGCGTTTGTATTTTGAGTACTGTTTGTAACAATCAACAAGATGGACGATGATAATTTGATAGAATATAGGTTTATAAATTTAAAATTTGGACTATAAATTACTGTGAATTTTAGAGACGGAAGACTGACTGAAACCAACTGACGGACAATTGACTGAGAAAGTGCGGATGCAACTGTGACTGGACTGTAACTGGACTGCAACTGGACTGTAACGGAACTGTGACTGGACTGATGTGAGTGATGTGTGTGAATCGACCTTTATACGTCATCCTTTATCGTTTTTAAATTACCTAAGCATGATTATATTTTTACTACAGTAAAATTAACATGTAACTGTATAATGTATTATTTTTTGTCACCGTCATGCAAATAAACGTATTATTTTAATATGTGCGTGTTTTATGTTTTGTGTTTTTTTCGTAATAACTAGACAAAGTCTACATATTCACTCTGCCAGAAGGTCAAAAGAGGGCCAATGAATAATGAATTAATGAATATTAGTAAATACCCCAACCCACACCGCAGTAAACCTAAAACAGCAAACCGAAAACGGGATTTTCGGACCACCTGCGGGAATTATAATGGGACCGAAAACGGGATTATAACAACCCCCCTCGGGAAAACGCGGGACGTGTGGGATATTACGGGATTTTTCATAACATTCAGGTGGGATAAATTGGGATTTTCTTTATCCAGTAGCGGTATTTTTATTATCTTCGTACCCCACCCTGACTGGTTTTCCCTTTTATGAGGGATTCTTATCCCAAAATCGGGAGTTTTAGACCTTGTACAGGATTAAAGCGGGATGTAGGATAAAACTGGTTTCAGGGTCTATTTTTTAAATCTAGGTACCGAAAAAAACATCATATCACCATACTGTATCATTTTAAAGCACATTATATGCAATAATTCCACCCCGACCCGGAATAAAAAAAAAATATGTGGCATAAAGTGGGATGTCATGTCAAAGCAGAGTCTCAGAGTTACAATCAAAAGCATTGGAAATTTTTTGTGTGATAAAATATTTTTGTGTCCAGGGATACAATGGAGTCAGATACAGGTTCTACCAAACCCCCTTTATGTTAAGTACCGGTACAATCAAGTACAATCCAATGAATCAATTTCTAGCTTATAACATGTTCATCTGTAAGTTTTGTTTTTCATATCTATGAAAATGAAATGAAATAGGTGTAATTATTGCTTTTAACATTTATTTATTTATACACGGTAACACCATTTATACAATAGTAGTTAGCATAATCAATTACAAGATGGTATAATTTACAACGACACTGCATTACTAATGCAATTAATAATAAAACAAAACTGAACTTGAAAAAAACTTAGAGTAAGTTTGTTATTCAAAGAAAAACAACAGACAATAATAACAGGCGATGCTGTCAAAAAAACAATCAATAAAAGGCAATGAAAGACTATAATACAGGCTATAAATACAAGCTATAAATACGGCAAGCAATAACAGGCAATGAAAGGCTATAAATGACAGGTCATAACTAACAGGCTATAATACAAGCTATAAATGGAACATGGAAAGAAACATTCATTGCAATCGTCAAAGTAACTTAAAATCTACTTTATATACAATTCAGTTTTAAAAACCTTTACGTACGACCGTTTTTTTTTTTAAAGTAGCCGTTTCAGTTCGGTTCTTTTACTCATATCAACACGGGTAACGGACCAATGAGGTTCAAGGATTGAGAGAGAAGAAGCAAAATTGTAATGATTCGAACTTCAACTTATCAGCTGTTCAGGCGAATAATTGTTGAGTGGTGCATGGTGCAATCAGGTACTAATCCATGGTATCTCAAAGAGTTTTTTTAGTTTTTTGAAATTTTGATTTTTAATGGTGATTTTCCCATACAACAAAAAAATAGCGAAAAAGTTGGATTTTCTTAAAACATTCCCAAACTATATTGATATTTTTTATAATATAGCCCTTTAAATTCCGAACAAAATGGTATGACTCACATTGCTGTAAAAATCACAATTCAAATAACCGTTTTGAATGCATGCGTTGCGGCTCTAAAGAGTAGCATTTTTAAATTACTCTCTAGCTAGGGAGTAAAAAGCGTTTTTAGCCCCTAGTGAGTAAAAATCAGCTGTTATCATGTCAGATGTAAATTTCGACTGTTAACAATTGCATGTATCAAAAGTGCGTATCGATTGTTTGTTCGATTGTACTTAATTGTTGTTCTATTGTAAATAGAATAAATTGTACATGTTAACACCTTTTGGTACTCAAAACTATTTTGAGTGGCTGTATTTATATCTTAGTGTGGAAAGATTATCTTTAGATCTAGTACAATAGTTGTGAACATGAGATATCTTTCAAATGAGAAATGTTTTCTTTTACATACAACAAACTTGCCAAAACATACAAAGATGGAAATGTGTGCTTACAATGTGTTATTCTATTCACACTACAAATTAACCTCACCGCCTTCTTTTGCAAAGTAAAATCAACCTGTTAGCATAAAAACTGTTGGCCCACAGTGAGGTACCATATGATAAATAGCTATGAATGTGCACATAATATATACAAATAAGAACATCATCTGAAACAGGGGACCTAAGTGCTCTTATCATAAATATGCCTTTTGAAATTTTATGTGCTACAAAATGTAATATTAGTAAACTGTTTTAGTAATACACAAATACATTTTGACATGCCTAACGCGAATGCCGTCTGCGTTCTGTTATAAAACGTCTAATCAAGATTAATTTGTACTACCGATGAATATAAACTAAATTATTATTTCACCTTAAATAATAAATTAATATTTTATTAAATAATATGTGATTGACATTTTTAAATCATATTACTGTACCATTTTTTTTTATAACAAGCTGTAAATAATGCTTTTAAAACAAACACAACGTGTCATGTTAATAAATGACAAGTGAGATATTCCAGGATTTCTTGAAATAGTAATCACGTTAGATCAAATTATAGTTTTATATTAGTTTGCCTATCAACTAATTTTTTAGCAAACCGAATTTAGTAACAAAAGCCAGCCCAAGCCCATTAGAAACAGGCGTTGCCTAAACTAATACACACAATTGTGATATTCCAGACTACCTAGTAACAGTAAACAGGTCAGTACGAAAACTTATATCAGGTATTAGATTTTTCCAATTAATATTTTTTCGCAACTATGGAAGTACAGTAACTAATATGCTAATATCGACAGACATCTATTACTAATATGTCAATCCCTAAGAGCCAACAATTGACATTAATAAAAGGATGTGTTGCAGAAAGTAAACTAAAATAACGCATCCCGAATTAATAATAATAGTAATAATTAATAATAATTAAATTGCTCTCTATTGTGCCCAGATAAAATATAGACACAAGTAACTAAATCATTTTAGAATATTATCATAGCAAGTTTTGAAGAGCTGCATACACATAATACGATTCATGTGTAATTTTCGCCATCTAATGGCGTAACAACACGACACATAAAAAATGTTGTGACTTTTAGTCCAGAGTTGAGGGTCGGGGTTGCTATTACTAAAGGAAATATGAATAGGATAAGATCCACTTCGGCCATCTCTTTTAACAGGGATCGTCCGATCGTCTTGTGATCGTGAGTATTATAAGCCAATCATCGGCCTCAGGTAAGAGGCACGACTCTCGGCTTTATAAAGATTAAATGTAAAATATCTAACACCAGACAGTGCAGACACATTGCACTCAACTTCCAAGTCATATTACAGCAGTCGTCGAACCCAGGCGAGAACCAACAGTTACTAACCGTCATTTAACGTTCATGTCATCAGATTACTCAAGTGTTGGAAGTTAAATATAAAGTTGAAATGCAGATAAAAACAATTTTTCTTGAAAAATTGCTTTTAAATTCATTATTACAGTGTAGTATAAACGTGTTTATCAATCGAGCCCGTGTGTGCCCTGTATGTGGAAAGTGTTAGTTCGGCGGGCGCCCGCTGGAGCGCTACACGGGACTGTGTGAAGCACGATACTACTCCCGACGACGACGTCGACGTGCAAAACAAACGTACTCCTCCAGGCGGTCACCCATCCAAACACTGACCACGCCCGACGTTGCTTGACATTTTACAGTCCAGTCCACGTGCACTCAAAACGTGACACTAGCGCTAAACGAAAAGACGTGGCGAAATCTAGCATTAGCACCCGTTTGGCCAGTGTAGCTCAGCGTCCACGTACACTCATATTAATGCCTTACTTTAATAAATACCTCTGCTGCAGCAAGCCTGCAGACTAAGCGATTTTTAACTTGTCATTTTTACTCAAATATTTCCATAAATAAGACATATTTTTAATCCCAATTTTAATAGCAGTAGATTTAACAAGTGGTTAGGTTTGCTGCTACGGGGAAGGTAAAAAGTATTTTTTTAACATACGTCAATACTATAGGATAAAATAAATAATTTTGCCAAATTTTATCAAAATATATCCATAAACAAGTAAACTAGCCTACAA